CGGGGTCTGACCACAGCGATGAGATGGAGGAGGCTCCTCCTGAGAGAAGGGTCAGAAGGAAAACGTGCATCTGGGACTGACTTCCGCCTGCTCACCAGGAGCCCAGAGGCCCAGCGCAGCTGGGGCGCAGCAGACCTGCTGCAGGTCCTCTCCCTGAACCACACCTGGGTCTTTTGGCCTGGTTGCATGGTGGCTGCGGTCGACCAGATGTCCAGGTCCGGACTTGGCCTTGGTCAGGGGAGAGGGGAGCGGGGGGGTCAAACAGATATCCAGGCCCGGACTTGGTCTCGGGCTGGGAAGTGGGATCACTGTGTCAAATGGGAGTTCCATTTTTAATTTTTAGATGGAAATTCTATACTGTTTTCCATAATGGCTGCCCCAGTCTGCATTGCTAATGGACCAAACAAACTGATGAACAAAAATAGACCCAGAGACATAGAAGCATGAACAGACCATGGAGCCTCAGAGGGGAGGCAGGGGAGGGGGGGTGGGAAGAGATTAACCAATGAACTTGTCTACATATATGCCTAACCCGTGGACAGAATGAGTGGTGAGGGCCTGTGGAGGGAATGGGAGTGAGCGGGCAGAGGATAATGGGGAGAAAAGGAGGTCCTATGTAATACTTTCAACAATAAAGATTAGACGAGAGAGAGAAGAGAGAACCCCTGTTCACTATCCTGGTATCCAGTACCCGCCTTGCTCTCTCCCCACTCTATGTCATCCCTCCTTAAATTCAAATGCACAAACCCAGCTGCAAACCATTATTCTCCAGAGCATTTGAGGTGTTGCTCCCCAACAGTTGTCAACACTTTGGCTGGAATAAAATCTTATAAAACATTCTCTCCATTTTTGGGCAGTTCTTACATCAACGCGTTGTCTTTACTTCATTTACCACATACGTTCATACACGTTTCTTTCCCGTGTGGAGAGGGAGGTGCACAAAATTATGAAAAACTTGCTACCTCTACATGATGTTGGTGGTGACTCTAAAGAGTTCAAACCCTTTGGTTTGGGGATAACGCTCCAACCACTGACACCCACCAGCCAGGGTTCCATTTGTAAATGATGGAAATTTTCCCCCTTTGAGAGGCTGGCATATATGGTTTTTGCACATGAACAGCAGAGAAGTTAAGGCAAATGTGTGCTTTCAGGAAGCAGCTGTGTGCTTGTGAGAGTGGCAGCAGGTTTGAGACTGAGGCTGTGGACACCTCATCCAGCCCAGCTTCTCCTCCCTCCTCACATGTAGAGGTTCGAGTTTTGTAGAGGATCTGATTGAAGAAAATAACAAGGAGAATCTTTCAGTCTCAAAATAGAAGCATCATACAATGCATATTCTTATTCCCAAAACCCAGAAAGGCAACATGGCCCACGGCCAGTGAAGGAGAGCGAGAGGAAGCCACATCCACCTGCCCTTTGTGCAGCACCCCTGGGTCCTCATCAAAATCCCAAGGAAGGAGGACTCTCAATCCTGGAAGCTGCCCCCAAAGGAATTGGGTCAGGATGACGGGTCTTCGGAAAGGAGGGAGGGGGGTGAGGACAGGAACCCCTGTGGCCAGCATCCTTGAGTCCTTTCCCATCTGGGGTCACCCCTAGGATGATAAGGTCAGGCATGCAGCCCAGGTTCTCAGCTACACTTTATATGCAGACTCCATGCAAATGGGGCTCTCCTCCTGCTCATAAAAGGGGGCCCTTGCCCGGCATGTTGGGGAGACACCCAGAACCCAAGAGCCTGAGACAGGACCCCAGCGGCTCCACCATGGACTTGGTGCCAAGCTGCGTTTTCCTCCTGATCATTTCTCAAGGTCGTTCTCAGGAGTGGGGAGCGCTGAGACCTGTGCCTGTGCCTGTTGGTGCTTCCATGTGATTCTCAGTCCACCTTGTGTCTCTGTGTTTGCAGGCGTCCAGTGTGAGGAGCAGCTGGTGGAGTCTGGGGGAGGCCTGGTGCAGCCTGGGGGGTCTCTGAGACTCTCCTGTGCAGCCTCTGGATTCACCCTTGATGACTATGCCATGCTCTGGGTCCGCCATGTCTCATACATTAATTGGAATGGTGGTAGCACATACTACGCCGACGCTGTGAAGGGCCGCTTCACCATCTCCAGAGACAACGCCAAGTACTCGCTTTATCTGCAAATGAGCAGCCTGAAAGCCCAGAACACGGCCGTGTATTGCTGTGCAAGAGAGACAGTGAGGGGAAGTCAGTGTGAGCCCAGACACAAACCTCCCTGAGGAGACAGCAGGGCTGGGCTGCAGGGGGCACTTAGGATACCAGGGGGCACTCAGAACCAGCAAACCCAGGTCCCAGCTCAGAGGCTGTCCCTGGAGGGTTGTGCAGGCTTCCTATTGGGGTCAATGCTTTCTCCCTCCTAGTGTCCCTGGGGCAGTTCCTGCTTCCTTCTTTGTGTCTTTAATTAGATTTTCTGCAGGAAAAAAGCAGGAAGTGGCTGTTTCAGATCTGGTGGACTTCTCATCTCAGCCCTTCCTGTCACCATGTCCCTGATGGTCACTCTCTGGGTTGACGAGGAAAACATTATAGGGATTTCCGTCCCCTCACTGAGAGCGACGTCCCCCTACCTCCACGCAGTGCTAAGAGTGAAACATGGAGTCCAGGCCCCAAACCTCACCTGAGGGTTACCAGCCCTCGCTCTGCCCCAGGAGGAGCCCTTTGGGGGCAGTTAGCCACTGTCTCTCACTGACATGGCTGCACATGGAGGTGTAGAGTCTGACCTTTGTGGGTGCTGCCCCTTGTGAGCCTAGAGGTGGACCCAGGTCCCAGGGTGTCCTGGGACACAGGCAGGAAGGAGGCGCAGTGACGGGTCCCGTAACAGTCCTGCTGGGACCTGTTCCCCTTGGGTCTCAGAACCTGGTCCCAGGGGACGTGTTCCAACACCTGTCACATTTCCCCTGGAGAATCTACCTGCATCCTGAGAACCTGCTGAAGGGAGACATGGTCCCACCCACCTCTGCTGTGCCTCCAGCTCCACAGACACCACCCCATCCTCACCTTCTGTCCTCTGCCGCCCACACTCTCACCCGATGGGGCCTGCACAGGACGTCCTGTGTGACTGTGTCTGACTTCTCCTTTCCCCCTGGTATGTTTTGCCTTAAATGCAACCCCAGCTCATCCCCTCATGCCCATCTCCTGTGCCAGGCCCTCCCTGAGACCCCAGGGCCAGGGCCACTCGGGCACCCTGAAGTGACCTCATCCACCCTGTCCAGCCCAGGTGCAGTGCCCACGTGTGATGTCAGACCATGGGGGCCCCACCTGTGTCAGGTGGAGACACAACTGAGCACTGACCTCACAGCACCTCCCACAGCTCACACATGTGCTTAGGGAACCTCCAGCGGGAGTCATGAGCTGCAGAGGATCCTAGTGGATGAGTACATGCCCCCTGGGATGAAAGGGCAGTCAGGGAAGGGCTGGGGCCTGGTCACCTATTACGCTGCTAACATCTCGTTGACCAGAGCCCAGGTACACAGGGAGTTCTGTGAATCCTAAAAAAGCAGGAGGAGCCCAACCACCATGGCTCACTGGTTGAGCATCGACCTATGAACCAGGAGGTCACTATTAGATTCCCAGTCAGGGCACATGTCCCGGATGAGGGAAACATCCCCAGTGGTGGGCATGCAGGAGGCAGCCAACCAATAATTCTCTTTCATCATTGAGGTTTCTATCTCTCTCTCCCTTCCTCTTTAAAATCAATAAAAGGAATTTTAATAAAAAAAAATACATACTAAAAAATGTTGCAGATTTGATGGGCAAAAGAGTCATATATGGGAGGCAACTGATCAATATTTCTCTCTCACATCAATGTTTCTCTCTTAAGTTCTCTCTCCTTTACTTTCCCTCTAAAAATGAATGAATATATCATCAGGTGAGGATAAAGAAAACAATATCTATATCTATACCTTTATGTACATCTACAAATACATCATTTTTATCTCTATATCTCTACATTTATATCTATAAAACAATTAACATATTCTTACGTGAGAATAAAGAAAATAAGATCGATCTATGTCTATCTCCATATCTATATCTATGTCTAAATCATCTGTAATAATAAAAGCATAATATGCTAATTAGACAGGATGTCGTCCCAGATGAAGCTGCAGAGAAAGCGCAGGCCAAGCCCTTTGCACGAACTTTGTGCATCCGGCCTCCAGTATATCCATATCTATATCTATATCTATATCTATATC